GGAATTTTAAATATTCAACTAAAATACATGCATTCTAAGACTTCAAGATGAAATCCTAACTATTAAAAAACCTCTCTAAAAGTTGCTTAGTTAGGGTGCTAGGAATGTCGCTATATAACCCTAAAATTGCAAATGTTTTTTCACTTTTTTCTTGCAATTTTTGCGTACTATGTTGTGTTTCTTTGCCTCCGCTTGTGCCCCAGTCAGTTGTCAACGCGGCATCAACAATGTGCGAATGTTTTGTGTGAGAATTCGCTGGCAGTTGTTGGTCGCTGTTGTTTTTGTTTCCACCTTGTCATGCTTCATCACGTAATTGTTAAATGTTAGTAGGCAATATTTAGTTAATGCACTTCTGCTGACGCCGGTCAGGTTAACGGATTGACGTGTTTGCTATGGAAAAGATGCCAGGCATCTGTTGGCTAACTATCTACTTAAAGATTCTTTTATCGCTAGCAGCTCCGGATTTCCCCTGGAAATTCCGCAGTTTATGGTTTACAGGCTTAAAACAATCGGTTGCCTTTCGTTGGTATTGATTAAAATCTATAAGGCATCGGCTTATAACAATAAAATCGGAACTCGTGTACATCTGCATGATAGATAATTGCAATTTTATTTGCTTTCTGTTGTTATTATTTCCAGAGAACTGCACAGTATAATGCATTGAGATGGCATTGACCGGCACGACTGACAATGGATTTTTCCACCAGAAACAGAAACGGAAATACCACACAAAACCTATAAATTTCCCATTTTTCTTCAAGTTTCGGTAGAAAGCCGAACAAAAAGCGTTTTACATAATTTATTTAAATTTTGTTTTTCGGCCGCCCGGGCTATTGTTGCACGAACTACGTGATTGAATATTTACAACATTTTGTTGCATTTCGCTGGGCAAAAGTTGCGGCAACTGCATGTAATACCCTTGGCGTTGCCAATTACGTGGCACTCGTACTGTTCGTACAGTTCGTACTCGTACAATTAAGCTCCGAGTGAAATTCTGCAATTGCGCGGCGCATCATTCCGGCGATTGTCAAAGACCCCAGATGAGAGTCTTGATTGATCGCTGGTTACGTGCTGGATAAGGCAAAAAAGCCGCAGCCACATCAGCCGCATCCACATCTATTCGGCGGCCCGAGGCGGATGCAAAAAAAAGAAGTAAAAATATAAGGTGGCCAGCTCAGCTCCGAACCGCGTTGTTTCAGGAGCTGCCTGTCAACTGGGTTGCCATTTCATGGGTTCGGTTTCGGGCCCCGCAGACAGTAACAACACTTTTAGTTTCATTGCTAAATGAGTGAATTTGTTAACAGGGTTGTGCTGTAATTGAAGTTTTCCCCGGATTTCTCACGCTTGTCGCTAGGATAAGATCTTGTGAGCCGCCCAGGGCACAGCGCTTGTCGATAATGACCTGATACTTGGGTTAAGAAATCCCAAAAGAAGAAATAACTCTGCCACAGCTATGCTATTAGTTTTTGTAGTTCAGAGGAATCTAAAAAAATTACACTTTTTATGCAATCTAATAATAAGGGAATAGACATTGAAATGTAATAGTCATGACGAGGACGTTAAAATATTCCCCCTAAAAACGAATCCCAAAAATTCAAAGTTATTACAAAAATGCACCAAAAGCGTTAAGCTATAAAGCCAAACAACTTCCACTTTTCTCCCAAACAATTCAACAAATTATAAGTAATTCCATAACAAGCGTGCTCATGCATTTATGCCTGAACCCATTAAAAAAGAGTTCGCTTGTGAATTTCTTTATTTGCTTATCGGATTTGGTGTTCGTTACAGGGTCTTTGAATTTCGCTTGTTTTCTTCTGTTTTTCTTTTGTTGACAAGAGGAAATTAAAGAAGGTAACAATGATCCATCACATTTTATTCAGGGCAAAATAATAAAATTCTTCTGAGACTTCCAAAAACAATGATTAGCTTTTCTTAAAAGCATAAGATCGTACAATTTCAAACATTCCGTTTTTCCCACCGTATATTCAATGATTTCTCAAAATGCTAATTCGAAAAAAACCAATCCCCAACTTTTCACTAATTTGTAGTGAAAAAGGGAAGTAATCTACTCCATTCTTCAACCTTTTCTTAATATGATAATTCCAAAAAAAAAGCAACCCTTAACTCTTCATAAAATATATATACAACCCAAAACACAATTTGTGTCGAAAAAAGGAAGCAATCCATTCTATTCCATTTTTCCCAGTGCATAATCAATCTTTTCTCAATATGCTAATTCCGCTTCTCAGAAAACTTCCCCGAAAAGCATTCAAAATTTGTCCCATTTTGCGACTTGTATTGGCCCACGTCGTGGCTGCTTTGGCCTGGCAATGTGCCATAACGAATTGTAAACAAATAAAGCCAGCCATTTAAATGGCAAAGGCAAAGACTTCAGGAACGGGGGGCACATGTTGCAGATACATTGAATGGACGAATGCCAAAATGCCCAAAAGGGGAGCAGGCATTCGCGAGGCGAACACACAACAGGCAGCCAAAGTCAATCGATGTCTCTGAAGAGGAGTAACAAAAGACAAGCAACAGGCTTGGCAAACTTTAGACTGTTTTTCGAGTTTTCTCTCACTTTTTGGGCCCAGCAAATGTTGGCAGCAGATAAAGCGGCGACAGCACGCTTCCAAAACATGGAGACATACAAATTTTTATCTGCCGCTGACATTTGAACATGACTTTAAAAAATCTACGGGACTTGTGTGTGCAAACAGTTTTTGTGTGTGGAGTCTTTGAAGTTTTTGGCCAACAACTACAGAAAAGAAAGCTAAGCGTGGGTGTCATTCGGTCAAAGCACCCTGATCCATGTTCACTTAATCCCATTGCCCCCAACGATCCCCGATTCCCCTAGATAGCGAACCTTTTTTATATTCGCCGGCCACTGTTTGCCCTCAATAAAATTTGATGGATCATCGCCGCCTACTTTTATCTGCTCTCGCCAATAAAAAGAAGTACAGAAGGAAACAAGCAAAATTTAAAGGCCCTAAATCGAACATCAAATCCGATATGCAAATCGAGAAATTATCTTTGCAAGCGAACTCTTTTTAATGGGTTCAGGCGTAAATGTGCGAGCACGCTTTTTTGGAATTACTTGTAATTCGTTGAATTGTTTGGGAGAAAAGTGGAAGTTGTTTGGCTTTTTGACTTAACGCTTTTGGTGAATACTTGGTAACAACTTTGAATTTTTGGGAATCACTTTTGGGTGCAATATTTTGGCGGCCTCGTCATGACTTATAAATTTCAATATGTTTACTTTCATGATTAGATTGCATAAAAAGCGCTTTATTTTTTACAAATTCCGCTTGGCTTTAAAATTTGAGTTCAATGCATTTAATAAGAAATATTTTGTTGTTCGCTTTGCCCTAAGGTGTTACCAAGTTTTTGGGGAATTCGGTTTTTGTATGACTAATCTTTGATTATGTTAATTTCTATAAATGGGTTAATGAATTGGGAATTCTGTGAATATTATTGGGAATCACTTTTAAACACCTTTAATCAAATTTCATATTCTCTTGTTCAAATAATATATATTAAATGATAAAAAGTCAGTCCAAAAATCCATTAACTTTAATTTATTTCAAAATGTGAGCTTGTTAGCTTGCCGATTTCCTCTTCTGTCTGAAAAGCATACTTAGCACCTAACGGATATTTCCATTCAATTCGGATCCAAAGACGAAATGTGCTCACCATAAATAAGCTCAAGTATTATGTCTTTTACAATACCACCCGTTTCCGTTGAAACGAGGTGGCGGCTAATAAGCGATGGAATTGAGGGAGAAACCGGGCTAATTTCCTATTACAGTAATGGACGTTTAATGAACTGGCATCGTATAACACCTTAATGTGAGTACTTTTTCAGACGAATAGTACACCGTGTAATTGAGCACAAAATCGAACACGTTAGTGGTCAAAAGGCAGACAATGGGTGACCGTTTTGATGTGTGTGGAAAAAGAAATATAAACCAGTAACTAAAATCAGAAACGTGTCTAGAGCACAAATCGTGAGGTATGCCTTGTTGTGGGCCAGAAAAACAAACGAATCGAATTGGAGCTATTGCAAAAAAGTGCAGTACAATTTATCGCCGTGAGCCATCAGAAGACCAAACAAAGTTCCGTTTCTTGGGCTTATGACAATGGCAAATTTCCAGCAGACTTCGGGCCCCAAAGCTGGCCAAATCTGTTGAGCTTCCTCAATGCCAGAAACGGACATGGCGAATTTTTGGGTTGTGAAAACCGAAAAGCCAGAAAATAATAGAAATAAAAGCGATTGCATCAACTTACGATCGTAGAGTCCAGTGGTTTGGTGTCTGGTTTCCTTTTACGCTTTAAATATTGAATTAATTATTTACTCCTTATTGAAAATGCCTCGAGGAAAATTGCTCAATGGCCCGAAGAAGATAAAAACCTGTGTGCTATTTGGCTTAAACGTTTTCTTTAGCAGCTTTTATTGAACACAAAAAAACACAAACTGCGGCTTTCAATGGTTTTTAGTCACTGCCTTCTAGGGTTTTTGTTAGTTACCCTCTGAGCACTGCACTAAGATGAGGTTTCTGGTGGGTCTATTAACTTTTTCGAACTGCGCGCAGACGCAGAGCGTTACCGACTCAGCTTCAGGCCAACAGGCGCGAGTCTTTTTAAACTGGCCGAAAGCTTCAACTTAACGAAAGACAGCTTTAAGCTGGTCAGAAAGTTGGCGCTCTCGGAAACTTGGCCCAAACTTGAAACTTTTAAGTGTAGGAAACCAGTGGGAGTAATTGGCATAATTTTTAACGAAACTAATTTAATTGCTTTTAAAAATGATAACTATTTTTAAATATTCAAATATTTCGATTACTTATATTTATTTTGTAGTGTTGTAAAACCTTTTGTGAACCACCCTTTTTTCGGCTAAGACGTCACAGGTTCTTCAACCCCCGTTCCCAGTTAGCCAGCCCACACAAAAAGCTGTTAACTTCTTTGTGCGCCTGCGCAGGTTTAACGATTTCCAAGTCAGGCGAAGAAGCCACTGGCAAAATAAAGTCAAACGGCTGCGGAACTGCGTTGTTGAATTTTGTTCCACACATCGTGGGCATTGCAAAGGTTTTAATTGTTGGAAATTACTTGTGAAGGTCTAGATACAAAAAAGTAAGATAATTTAACATGTAAATAAGTAAGATATGAGCTTAAAATTGTGAAAAAGAAAATCCTATAAACCACTCAGAAGCTGTTGCAAAGTAATTGCTTTACTTGAAGCTGGGATGCTGCAAAAAACCATAAATACAAAAATTGAAAGTGATAGTAACAGTGTTTACTTCGATAAAGTAACTAGGGGAAATAAAGATAGGTGATATAAGAAAGAAAATCCTTTTGCGACGCGTTTTCCCATTTAACTTGTCCCGTGGAAGTGGAAAACCCAGCGAACTTCGTGTGCGTGTGTGCGGGGGCTCTGATGATTCATGCGACCCCACGGCTCATGTGTGTTTGTGACTCTCCCGCTCTCTTCCAAGAACCCGTGCCAGTGTGTGCCTCTTCAAGTAATGCAAATAACAACAAAAGCAAACCGTCAGCATAACCTGGCCAGAACACGGGCAGCAGCTGCCCACGAATAACAAGCCCCTAGCATACATTTGTGCGCAAAATCGATGTACGAAATTTTTCACGTGCCACAGAAAGTTGCAAACATCCGAAGACAGTTACAAAAACTTTTCCTCCTCACTTACAAATCGTGACTAATTGTTATTCCACACAGCTACGAGGAACATCGAGTGCGAACGTGCTGAGAGCGGCGAAGCCAAATCCATTAAAAATGGCTGAAGAGTATATTCCAGATGTCAGCGTCATGGACACAAGTAAGTAACATATTGCAGGGCCAGATGCGACCTTTGTGGTTGATCTGCCCAATTTGCTCATTAGCAAGTTGTTCAAAGTGTTGGGTATAACTTTTTCCCTAACTTTTTCGATGGCAATGAATATTTAATTCGGGCTTTTATGCCTGGGCAAGTGGCACATCATTCGTGTGCGTCGGTTTTGATTGGGGTTTCGTTTGACATTTTTTATGAGTACGAAAATGTTATGTAGGCTTCATTATGTGGGGTGTAGAGTCTTGACTTATTAAGGGATAAGTGAATGTCAAGGTTCTTGTGGGTTGCATTTAATAACATAAGAAGTTTACAATCATCGCACAGCTGTTTGAGGAGAGTTTCTCTTTCTTTCTTCGTCATTTTGGTGACTAATCACAGATGTAATTTGATAGTGTTTTACATATGCAAATCTTAGTGAATTATTTGTTGATTTTTCATTGATATTTTTATTATACTTATAATCATTATATATTTTTTATAAAACTTTATTCGTTTAACCTATAGCAACTTTTAATTATTATCTATAAGTTTTCATGACATAAAGGAAAAGTGTATAGGAATTTCCAGTAAAGAAAATTAGAATTAATGAATGCAAAGATTCAAACTATTTGCAGGCTATTAAGTTTTCCCTTAAGTACATTACTGTGCTTAACTTATAACTTCAATTATACAAAAATTTAAAGACTTAGGGACTTTTATTGAATTTTTTATTTACCTATTTTTTTGGGTATTGAAGAGCCAATTGCAAGCTGAAAATTGTAAAAATTTGTTGGAAACAGAACAAGTTTTAAATACGTTGGCTTATTTATTCCCTAACAAAATTCCGATTCTACTTTCCAGTTGTGCCCGCCATCCTGGGACTGACCGCGGCTGCTGTCCTCTCGTCGGTGGCCTGCATCTGCGCCCGGCAGATGCGCCTCCGGAACAAGAAGCAGAGCCAGCACGACGCCTCGTTTCCCTTCCAGCCGACCCGGCGACCGACCGCCGTTCGATCGCCCAGCGGCCAGCCGCCGCACTATCTGAAGAAGTCGCCCTCGCCGACGGGCGGCAAGCAGATGGGTCTTCTGTCGCCAATGCAGGATCAGTCCACCTCCCCGATCGCCCAGCCGAATGTGAAGTACAGCGAGGAGGACGACGGACCGCCACAGCATGCGGAGCAGCAGAACGGCAACCAACTGACCGTGGTGGATGGAAACGGATTGAAGCACTCGCTGCACAACAGCCTCCACCACTCACCGGTGGAGACGATCGCTAACGGAAGTGTGACCATTACCCTGGACGACCATGCGCTGACCAACGGAAAGGAGCTCTCCGTGACCGACCAGTACGGAAAGCTGGGCACCATCTATTTCAAGCTGCGCTACTTGGCCGAAAGGAACGCCCTGATGGTCTCCATCATCCGTTGTCGCGGACTGCCCTGCAAGGGAGGATCCGGAGGAACCGGAGACATCCCCACCGGCATGAACGGACGCACCCAGGCGGCCACTGACCCCTATGTCAAGCTGCAACTGCTGCCCGACAAGCAGCACAAGGTCAAGACCCGCGTGGTGCGAAATACCCGGAACCCAGTTTACGACGAGGACTTCACCTTCTACGGCCTGAACATGAACGACCTGCAGAACATGTCGCTGCACTTTGTCATCCTCAGCTTCGATCGGTATTCGCGCGACGATGTTATTGGCGAGGTGGTGTGCCCATTGACCTCCATCGAGATCGGGGACATTTCCAAGGAGGCCTTGTCCATCAGCAAGGAGATTCAGCCACGCAGTCTGAAGATTCGAGCCCAGGGTCGCGGCGAACTGCTGATCTCGCTCTGCTGGCAACCGGCTGCCGGACGTCTCACTGTAGTCCTCCTTAAGGCCCGAAATTTGCCCCGCATGGATGTCACCGGTCTGGCCGATCCGTATGTCAAGATCTATCTCCTCTATAATGGCCAACGCATCGCCAAGAAGAAGACGCACGTGAAGAAGCGCACTTTGAGCCCCGTTTTTAACGAGAGCTTCGCCTTCGATATTCCCGCCGCCGAGGTGAGTTATCTATTGATCTAAAAATTACTCTTATGAAAAACTTTTACAAAATGTGCGACTTTAAATGTTTTAGAAGTATGTTGGGTTTAAAGATAATTTTATCCATATACGAGTACATAATTCAAACAAGGAAGAACGCTATAGTCGAGTACCTCGACTATCAGATACCCGTTACTCAGCTATATGGAGATATGCAAGCAGCAAAGCGAGATTAAAATGCGCCACCTACCGGCGGTATACAGATTTAAGCGTTATGGGCGTTAGAGTGGGCGTGGCAAATTTTTTTTTGGATCAATCGATAGGTATCGACGAGACCAATACATTTCAGTTAAAATTTTTTATCTAGCATGAAAATTGTGGGCGTCACAGGTTTTCGCGGTTTGTGGGCGTTAAAGTGGGCGTGGCAAACTTTTTTTTGGGTCAATCGATAGGTATTGATGAGAACAATACATTTCAGTTAAAATTTTTATTCTAGCATCAAAACTGTAGGAGCCACAGTTTTGGGCGGTTTGTGGGCGTTAGAGTGGGCGTGGCACTGTGCTGAAACAAACTTGCGCTGCGCAGGAATCTCAGGAATCTGCGTGCCTAATCCCAGTATTGTAACTCTCATAGTTTCCGAGATCTCAGCGTTCATACGGACAGACGGACAGACGGACAGACGGACAGACGGACATGGCTAGATCGACTCGGCTAGTGATCCTGATCAAGAATATATATACTTTGTGGGGTCGGAAACGCTTCCTTCTGCCTGTTACATACTTTCCGACGAATCTAGTATACCCTTTTACTCTACGAGTAACGGGTATAAATAGACTTGGGACTTGGACCCTATGAAGGTTTTTTCCATAAATTCCAAAACTGTTCTTTAATATGAAAAAATATATGGGACCTCTTAGAAGAAAATAGTACCAATAAATATGTGTAACTGTCACTTAGTGTACAAAATATTGTTCATGGTTCCATCCATTAATCAAATATAAGGTGTTATGCGGTGAAGAAAATTGAATCTTTATGAAAGCATTTAAGTTCTAATAAGTTATTTAAATTGTTATTGTTTTATTCCGTTGGGCTTTAATGTCAAACTAACTGGTGTTATGAGATTGTTTGTTTATATGTTTTAATTTTACAAATTACGTTTTACTTTATTTTGACACTTATAATAATTTATAAAATAAAAAAATAAATATTTAACGTTTAGAATGGCTATATCTAAAAACGATAATAACAAAGTAAACTTTCATAAAATTGCAGGGCACTGGCGCCAGTCTTGAGGGTGTGTCTTTGGAGCTGATGCTGCTCGACTGGGATCGCGTGACCAAGAATGAGGTAAGCCGATTTGGATGACCTAATGCTAATAACTCTATAATTGCACGATTGACATTCTCGCAGGTCATCGGTCGTTTGGAGCTGGGTGGACCGAACTCGAGCAGCACCGCATTGAACCACTGGAACGAGGTGTGCAACTCGCCCCGCCGCCAGATCGCCGAGTGGCACAAGCTGAATGAGTAGGGGAGGGGATGTTACCACCTGGGCGCAGGCGCCCCTTTACAAGGAGGAGGAGGGAAGAAGCAGGAACCCGGCATCTAAAAACGGGAGTCATACGGTTCATCAGCATGAGCTCGTTGCCACTTTGAGTTTTTGTCTCGTCTAGCATATAATTTTATATTTTTAAACCAGTTTTCTACAATTTGATTATATTAAATCTAATTTCTTCAAGGTCACTTGTGATCTGTACGTTTAGTTGCTTTCAAATTTTGAAGCACCATCTAAGCGGATTAAATGGCGCTTTACGCCAGAAGCAAGAAAAATATTTACCAAAACTAACTAAATTAAATGTATTAGAAAATGTTTAGGACCTTGAAAATGCATGTAAGTGTAAGATAATTCAGAAACATCTTAGTATAAAGATGTTTAAAGATCTGAAAATGGAACGAAAAAGAAAAAATATACCTACATATTTTTAATCGACATCATTTTTGTTGCTGTACAATACTTTACTTCTACGCTTTATGTAACTTACATTCATATATGATTTTCATATCAAATAATGAAGTCCCTTTTAATGTGCCCACCATAAGAAAAAATCAAGTTGATTTCCAAAAAGAGATACATTATTAACCATACATATGTATAAAATATTTATGATGATATCTAACTCTTAAGCATAATGTCTGTGTACAATATGATTTGTATTGTTTAGAACTTTTTTGTTTAAATGTAAAGTATTAAAATATACCATGGATTCAATGGATACCAAACACCAAAGCTACATACTCCGAAAGCTCTTGAAGTGTGTCCAGATGGAAGCGAAAAATAATGCTTACTGCTTAACACTTTATACGTACTCTTAAAAATAAAAATAACTAAAACTACAAATAAAACTAAACCAAATTGAATCTAGAAAGAACACGCAGCAGAATGCTTAGCACCAAGAAGCTACAAAACCACACACAAATCGATCGAAAAAGTCAGAAAAACATTGATTCGGAGAAGAAACCAAACACAATACAATAATGTAAGCAGCATAGTACATGTAGGAATCAATTACCAATAAAATACTTTAGAGTATAACCACTCACGAATAGCTCAAACAGAACGCAATAAGCACTCCAGGTGTATCTAGCGGCACTACTTATAAACGGAATGGATAATGGAACCCCAGAAAGCATAGCTTACCAACGACACCGAGTCATTATCCACTTACTGATACTGAGTGTACTGAATACAATTATGAACTATAACAGATCTAGACATCAGCCCGCTTCTACGTATATTTTGTAAAATGAGTGTTAGAGCATTAAATTTCATTGAATAACTACTTACATTGAACCATAAGGATATATACAAGCATACATAGCGGTTCGAGAGAATGGCAAATACAACTTCAATTCGTGTCCAATCAAAACTTCAATTCGTCTAATGGGAAAACAATAATTACCAATACATATGCGAAGAGTTTTTGCAAAGGAACCCAAATTATATGAGATGTGTATAATTCTACATTATATGTAATAGTAACTGTAAGCTACATCAAATGGTTAATTTCAGTAATAAAACGTATTATATAAAACAACATTCTCAGACCAGCTCTTTATTTTCGTTGCCCCTAGATTAAAAGAAAATGTTTTATATGTTAAAAACTATGAAACAGGTAGAACATCGCGTTCCCGACCCTCTGAGGTATATTTATTCTTGAGAAAATTTAGATATGGGACTGAGCTGTCGACTGTCTTGAAAAATTCCGATTGCTCGGGCGAAAACTTTAGGTTGTGTTACGAAAAGACGTCCACATTCGCAGAACATATGGTGGATAATTCGATGTAACCCTCAAATGCTATACAATGATTGAATGTGGGTATAGAAGTGACGAGAATAAGTTCGAGTGGTTAGAGGATGGAAGTCTACCGAATGATTGCAAGGACTGCGTGTGTGTTGTGTAAGAGGGCTGTTCTGGTTTTACTTTCGAGTGTTTTAATCAAATTCTAATTGCACAATGGTATTCTACACTCAGGGAAAAACACCATGCTATTAACAAGTACAAACAGCCTTGATTTAAGAAAAATTGCCTGCTTAACATTTAAGAAAGTTCGTGGTCAAAAAATTATAATTTTGAGCACTTTTTAGATTTTTAATGTCTGCCAACTCTAATAATTCCCAACTTTTTATTCTGAAAGTACTCGGTATATAAGGCGCATAAATTGGACAGTTTTAATGCCCGCGAGCGGCAAGTCGTAAGTAAACTCAAAATATTAATATTATTTATATATACTCGTATCTCGATTATTTCGTTTCAGTTTCCAGTACTTATTTCTCTTACTAGCATAAAATAAAAAATGAATTTAATTTCATAATATTTATATTCTGATTTAAGAATTATTCGTCCTTAAATCATGCCTGCCACTTTTTACTTTATTATTAAATCGTTCTTGTTTTTAGTCCAAATATGACTTGATTTAAGAATTGTTCATACTAGATTCCAGACGGAAAGGTTCCTTAATCTAGTATTTTAGGTCTTGAAAATTCGTGCTCGAAAGTAGTATTTTGTTCTCGCGTTCTGTATTTTCCATGCTTGGCGAAGTTTTGACACCGAAAATACTAGGTTCAAGCACGAAATACTTGATTTTTTTTCTGAGTGTATATATTGTATATATTCTTATTTAATGGATCATATGATATCATTATTTTGACTAAATCCTTTCGAAGTTGAAAAAGAAACGAATTTAAATGCAATTTGGAAAACGCTAAGGCTTTAAAGACAGCCTATCAAATGTGTTTATATATGTAGCTCTTCTATTCTACTGAAAATTTATCGGGAATTTTGCTGGCCAGTGCTACGTTTATTTGAATATGAACAAGTAAGAACGCACAAATGCTGCACCCCGGGGACTTCGAGCTCAATCACCGCAGAAATGTTGTTATAACAATGGACATCCTTACATTTTTAGAAGTTTACAGTTGTTGGCATCCTTCCTTCCTTTCTTAACCGGGAATCAAAAGTACAATCTGACAAATTTACTTTAACTCACAGTTTCACAAAACACACACATATTAAACTTATAGTTTGCTTATCAAAAACTTTAACTCAAACATTCCTACGACGTTGCAATAACTTTTACCTATGATATTAGGGTTACAGTTATTTATTAGAACTTACAAATGGGCACTTAATCAATACATATTGTTTTTATGCGTTAACAAGCAATACATATTTTTGTTGTAACAGAAATTTCTCTCTGCGAGTATTTATATAGGTTTACATTTGTTTTGCAATGTCTACACTCAGAAAAAAAATCAAGTATTTCGTGCTTGAACCTAGTATTTTCGGTGTCAAAACTTCGCCAAGCATGGAAAATACAGAACGCGAGAACAAAATACTACTTTTGAGCACGAATTTTCAAGACCCAAAATTCTAGATTTAAGAACCTTTCGGTCTTGAACCTAGTATGAATAATTCTCAAATCAAGTTATATTTGGACTAAAAACAAGAACGATTTAAGAATAAAGTAAAAAGTTGCAGGCATGATTTAAGGACGAATAATTCTTAAATCAATATATAAATATTATGAAATTAAAATGAGTTTTTATTTTATGCTAGTAAGAGAAATAAGTATTGGAAACTGAAACGAAATAATCGAGATATATATAAATAATATTAATATTTTAAGTTTACTTACGACTTGCCGCTCACGGGTATTAAAATTGTTTAATGTATGCGCCTTATATACCGAGTACTTTCAGAATAAACAGTTGGGAATTTTTAGAGTTGGCAGACATTAAAAATCCAAAAAGTGCTCAATATCAGAATTTTTTGAGCACGAACGTTCTTAAATGTTAAGCATGCAATTTTTCTTAAATCAAGGCTGTTTGCACTTGTTTTTAGCACGGTGTTTTTCCCTGAGTGTACCATTTACCTTTAGTTTATTGGCCCTGTCAACGTTATCTTGGCATTTGGGCCCCTTTCATGTTGAACTAAAAAACTGCATTCATAAAAACATAAAAAACTGCCGAACAAATAAATCCATCCTATTCATGAGAAAATCCCATTTTTTAAGATTTTTTCATTTATTTGATATTTAACACCGAGCACAAGACAAAAACTTGCTAAAGTAGACATTTTTGGATTAAGGAAGCAAGGCGAAACTACTCAATGCATTGTACAAGAGTATAGGGGTTTCAGATTAACCCAGAAGATGGGGCTGAGCCTGCTGGACGTCGTCGCAACGCTCCTTGAGATCCTCGGGATCCAGCTCCAGGCAGGCGCCCCACTCCACCAGGGTGATGCGATGGTCGTTGTTGGAGTCGCAGGATTCCAGGAATGGTGCGATGCAGTGCTCCAGGCTGACCAGCGGAGCACGGATGGGGAACAGCTCGTGCCGGGAGACGGAGCGATCGGTGTCACCGTCCAGATCGCACCACTTCCACACCGCAGCGTTCGACCAGCGACGGGAGTTGTTGGTCTCGGCCTCCAGCTCCATCTGCATGTAGTGATCGGTCAGCTCATCGCGCTCGGCCAGATCCCGCATCACGTTGAACAGCCAGTCGCGCATGCGCCTGGGGAAGTCCTTGAGGTCCTCACCCTCGCAGGACCTAGGCTCGTGGCAGGCCCCGTAGTAATCGATGTGCATGTGGGCGTTGTCCGCATTGGTGCAACCGGGCTCTCCACTGTCGCACCAGCAGCGCTGCTGGTAGACGGAGCAATCTGAGGGCCAGGTCTCGTTGGTGTTGGTGCACACCAGACGGCGGGTGTCCAACTCTTTGGGGCACTCCGGGATGCACACGCACTGGGGCTTCTCGTCGTGCATCTGACAGATGCGACCGGCTCCGCAGCGAATCCTCTCGCAGAGATCCTCCTCCACAACGGGATTGAGCAGATTGTGCTGGACTTCGGCAAGTTTGGTGGCAATCTCGTTCTCCCGCTCCACATCCTTGATCTGCGAGTTGGGTTTAGATATTTACATAAATATATAGTTAGTACCGGTGAATGAAGGGCAACCCACCTGGTTCTTCTCCTCAAGCAGGCGCAGGAATTCCTCTTCGTTCTCATCGATATCGGTCAGGTCGAGGTCATCCAACAGCTCTTCGTCAACTTCCGAGGAGGCCTGGACCTGGGTCAAAGCTAGCAGCCCTAAGGCGAGCAGCAGCCAAGAATAGCGCATCTTGCTGGCGATCTCAACTGCAGAGGTTAAAGTTTGATGGTAAGAAATTTGTACTTAAAATAAAAAGGTATATTGAACTTTATAAAATCTTTTCTCAATAATATTAAAAGTATTGAAAACTCTATTTCAAATTTCTGCCTTAGAAACATGCATTTAACTTAAAAAATGCAGTTGATAACAATAAACTAATTATTTGATAATTAGCAAATTGCGCCATAAATTATTTTTGGGGTATTAACGAAGGTCAGTTTATAAATAAGTTAGGTCAACAAATAAGTTTTGAGGGAAAACCCAATATACCTTGAAATAACCTTTAGTCTTGGAAAAACTTCCTTTTTATGGAAAGCTATGTAATGAGAATTTCCGAGCTCACCGGCAAACACATGAAACTGTGGAGTCGCCAGTCTTATAACTCACTCTTATAGGATGGTTTTTGCATTGAGATGGACGATATGAACTCGGCGGCGTCTTTTCCTCATTGAAAACAATTGAAGAAGCCGCAAAAATCATGCCGGCCTCTTCTGCAGGGTTCAAAAGGTCAACGCAAATAAATCGCGCAGATACAGATGCAGAAGTTCTCCTTTTATGAGAAAGTTAATTTATGGATCTGTGCCAAGCGGATGGAAAACAATGGCAACACATTGTTGTCAGGGAATTGAGGAAATATGCTTATTACAGATCCACAGTTTTTTAAATAGAAGGAAGTGGTGATTGAAAAGGGGCCAGGTAATGGATGAATTCTCAGAACTTTAATATTTGATTTTCATTTCCTTTGAGAGCTGCAAATAGTCTTCTTGCTAATGCAACCGCAAAACACATTTTTGTTTTTACGAAAAATGTTGAACACATGTTAGTTCAAAGCTTTTCAAAAATCGTTTATGAAATCATCGCCAAAGCAAAAAAATATATATGTAGTATTTTT